TTTCGGCTAACTCCCCTAGGAGAACTACCGGTGGTTCATCAACCTGGTTATAGCCCCGGATGTCGGCTTTTCGTCCTCTCACTTGAGTGGGAAACACCACCACGAGAAGGCAGTGAGTAGGGCTCCCTCAATCGAGGCTATTTGTGAGCATTTCGCGAGGAGCAAGGGAAGAATAACAAACCGCAACCTTAAATACCCATTCCGAGGCTTTGGGAGACTATTGAGGCTTTTCGAGGTCGTACGACGATGATGTACACCTAGGCAGCTGTAGCGAAACTTTTGATTCTATCTTTTAATAACGCTCAGTCAAAAGTTGATGTCCCCGTCTTGCTTGGTACCGCATCTGATCTATTTCGATATTGTGTTTTACCCATCTTATTCAGTAATTGCATTTCTAATTTTTATCATTTGTGAATGACAGGTCCTCATGCCTAAGGAGTTAACCCCGTCTGCAGTGTATCGCATCGGAGTTTTTAATAAAAACGACAGGGCTTCTGGGCCACGAGCCTCTGTTTTTTCGACAGTCTAGACCCANTAGACCCAGACAGTTCAATTAGGCATGTCTGGCATTGGTTCAGGCAATCGCGGAGCTGTCAACTGTGACTTTTAACACTGGATGTTTTCCATTTGTCGCCATTTCAGCCGAACTGTGATACCATTGTCATCGGAGGAGAAAAAGGATTTGTAAAAGTGCAACACCTGACTACACATCGCTTCTCAAATTTAACGGACTCTTCTGCCGACACTCCGAAGCCGAGAATTACTGAGGAGCTTGAAGCTGTCTCCGGCTTAGACCCATCCATACTACAACTATCCGAAGAATTTTCGGGTAAGTGGAGGGGTGGTAACCGATTCGTGACAATGACCACCGAGGATTGGCTCAGTCAACCGTTTGATGGACCGCGACTGGGTCCTCGGACCTGGTTACCAGATCGAAAAACAAAAAATGGTTTGCCAGTCGTACCATTGGTCCATGAGGTGAGTGAAGTCATTTGACTGTTATTGTCATCGGTTACGATTAAGTAACTTAGTTTGAATCTCGAACTCCAAACATCGCCGTAAACTTTCACGCGGTTCCTGAAAGTATGACTGCACATGGGCTGGTGTTGTTTTCCTTGCAAGGTGAGCAACAAAACGAAGTAATCCAATCGTTTCCAGATGTGTGGCCTCAAATTTTAACTCAGTTTACGTATCTTATCTTGCAAATCGGGGTTCATGAATGTGTTGGTCATATACACCACGATTTCCAATACTAATTTGATGGAAATCAGTCACGTCAGTGCTAGCCAGATTGTATCCGTGATCTCAAATTGTCGTGCTTCATAAACCGATCGGTATTTTCCGCAAATCGGTAGCGAATGATCTGGCGGCAAAGACGTGCATCAAAATTTAATTCGAAATTGCTAACGACCTCTTCCGTGAGATTGTAAGGGAAGAGGGATAAATTAAATGGTACTTAGTTTCATGATTCTCGTAGAATGGTACATGAGCTGCTTTTATGGATCTGTGTTAATATGGTGATTGTTAATAAAGTAAGCAATGATTAAGCACTCAGACAACAATGCAAACGCCTAAGGATACGCTTTACTCATTGGGTGAAAGTGAGAGTTGAGCACAAACAATCGGAATACGCAGTACTCGTACCAAGTTCAGATGACCGGGCAAAAAAAACGTGAACTTTAACCCACTGAATATTGCTCAGTGAATGCAACTAACAGAACCAAATATCAACAGCCGAGTATAACTCACAATTCATAAGGTATGCTATATTTGGTCTGCAAGGATGGAACTCAGTCGATGTTTTTCTACGACTACAAATTTGGTTTAGAGCAGCCGCAGTGTTGATCATTTGCGAACTGCCTTAGGTGATGATGCGCCTTCAAAAAGCATTGTTTGGATGCTTTGTGGAATTGAAACGTGGCAGGCGTTCCCAGATGATAAGACACTATTCGACCTGTGAAATTTCCCGCCGCGGACAACATTACTGCTGTGCAAGCGATG